GCTCCTGTTGAGCCTACTACTACTATCACGACCCCTCAACCGGCCAGCACAGCTGCTGTGACCGATGAGGTTGTTCCTACTACTGCAGCCCCTGTGACTGACGAGGTCACCATCACGACGGCAGCTGGGGAAGCTCCGGGAAGAGACAAGGATGATTCTGATGCTACCACCCCGGTCGCTACCGAGACTGCGGCTGGCACTACTACGATCGATGCTCCTGTTGAGCCTACTACTATCATGACGCCCCCTCAACCGGTCAGTACGCCCGCTGAGACCGATGAGGTGGCTGTCACTACTGCAGCCCCTGTGACTGGCGAAGTGACCATCAGCACGGCAGCTGGGGAGGCTCCCGGTAGAGACAAGGATGACTCTGATGCTACCACCCCGGTCGCTACGGAGGCTGCAACTGTCACGACTACGATCGGTGCTCCTGTTGAGCCTACTACTATCACGTCCCCTTTCCCGGTCAGCACAGCTGCTGTGACGGATGAGGTTGCTGTCACTACTGCAGCTCCTGTGACTGGCGAAGTGACCATCACGACGGCAGCCGGGGAAGCTCCCAGTAGAGACAAGGATGATTCTGATGCCACCAACCCGGTTGCTACTGAGACTGCGGCTGTCACTACTACGATCGATGCTCCTGTTGAGCCTACTACTCCCACGTCCCCTCTACCGGTCAGCACAGCTGCTGTGACCGATGAGGTTGTTGCTACTACTGTGGAGACGACCGATTCCGAGACTACTCTCAGTCCGATTGTGTAGCCGATTTAGGGTAATGAAGCTTTGTAATGCCCGGTGAGCGCATTTAATACTGTGGTAGAATGTCGAAGTCTCGTCATCGATTACTAGGGCGTGCTCATTTTCTGTCGCGGAGCACGTGTCCCCCATAAGTCTTAGCTCAAGATCTTTCGTTATCACTATGTCATCCGTATTGAGCTCACAAGGAAGTGTTGTGTCTGACAGTCGGAAATCTCAGCTAGAGCTGCCGGAACTCCTACAAACAATGGCGATCTCGGTGGGACAAGAGGTGAAGAGGGTTTCCGGAGCGGTCCAGCTTAGAGCCGAGGAGCTCGCCAAGCTGGAGGCGCTGGTACTGCAAGAAGTAGCGCAAGATCTTCAACCCGAAAGTTGGGAAGGGGTCAGCTACAGCCTCATCACAGAGGCTCTGGTGGAGTTGGATCTTGAAGGTCTGGAGCACGGGAGAGATCCGATTGCGGAGGAGGCGGAGAGCAACATACTTCGGTTGGGTGATTACCTCTCCTTGTGCCTGACTCTTGCCTACTATCCATCCGATGGAGATAAGGAGACCAACCGTCACCTAAGAGCGGAGCGGCGTTCGGTAAAAGATAGGATACTCGCTGATGACCTGTCTCCCTATGCGGTTGGCTTGGCTCAGTCATATCATGAACGTTATATGATGGCCAGGGTTGCTGCTCAGAGAGCGAAGGCTGAGCCGAATTACGCAGTTGAGGAGAGGGTGAAAGTTGACGTCGTGGCCGGTGAGAATAAGAGCCTAGCAGAGAAAGTGACCAGCGAGCTGACGGAGGAGCGCACCAAGAAGGTTCTGCCCCCAATACGGCCCACGAACTGCTCGGATAGCATAAGGAAGGATCTCACCGAAGAGGCTGTCGAGAAGATCCGAAAGGCGGCCGAAGCCACGAAACCTCCTCCTGGAGGAGTCTTTACGGTTCGGGAGGGAAGCGGTCAGACCCTCTCGGAATTCCGCGCCTACTTCCAGACCCTATCTAACCAGCGAGCTTGGGGCGATGTCCATGCGTTCTTTTGGCTGTGTAAATTCGTGGACACTTCTCTATGGATGAACATATCCCTAGCTCAGGGCCAGAAGATTCTATGTGATCCCTTATGCCGGTCTTCTTACACCGATGCAGTGAAGGTCGTATGGTCAGCCTTGGAGAGGCTCAGCGGACGCGAGAAGGAGAGGGAATCCCTGTTGAGCGAAGGCCAGAGACTCGCACAACAGCCGGGAGAAGCCGTCATGGCCTTCCTCTATCGGGTCAACAGATACAAGCAGAAGTGCGAGTTTGCAGGTGTTACTGCGGATACTGCCCACTGGCTCTCCTTGGCCAGAGTAGGCATGAGGGACGAGCTCTCGAAGAAGCTCAGTTATTTGGTGAATGTCGGGAAGCCGGAGGTATCGTGGGACGAGTGGCTCGTTTCGATGGAGCGCATGGCTCCAGCATCGGGGTCGCCATCAGTTCGCTGTGTGGAGGCACACCAGGCGGTGGCCAGCTCTGAGGTTCAGGCGGTTCAGCCTTCAGGAACCAACACCAAAAAAAGTGGCTTTCGAGGTCGCTGCTTTTCTTGCAACCAAGTGGGACATATGAAGAGGGAGTGTCCCAATAGGCGACAGTATCGTGGACAGTTCGCGAAGGAAGCCAT